AATTTTTATTTTCATTAAACTTTGTTTCCTAAGCTAAAAAACAAAGACTTTTTATCTGACATTCTAGCTATCATAAATAATATATATTTGCTATAGTAAATATAATTTAAATTATACATTTTTTAAAATTTTTACCTATATTTTATATATGCGGTCACCAACCGGCAGTGTCGTTATTGTTTAGGTCAACTTCGGTGCCTGGCTCTTTCGTTGTTCTCCTCGTTATTCTTCCTTTCCAATGAACTATGCGGATTACGAGGGCTTTCATTTTAAGCGACTTAAAAGGTACCAGAAATTGCCGCCTTTGATCGCATTTACTGCGGCTGCGATAACTTTTGTCTATACGTATAGGTATTTTGAAAATCGCTCACAATTTTACAGGTAATGTCATATGAAAAATTTACTTGCTAGAAATGGCGGGCATCCAAAGATGGTCGAAATGATGAAGAAAGCCAGTGGTACGTAGCCGGTCAACACAATGTACGACAGCTTGTTCTAGATTCAAAATGAAATTAGATATCACTTTAGCCTCTTACTTCATTGAGAAATTACTTACATCTAATATAATATACTATTATATCTCATGTGCTTCGAGACTCATCTTGTCTTTTTTACTACAGATTTTGATGCTCATTGCTTTCTACAATCAGCTTATAGGTGTTTGTGTTTTGGGTCTGCATGACATTGAATGTTTAGAAAATAAAGCCCTCATATCGAGCTAAACTGAGTTTTAAACTTTCCATAGTTAATGCACTTCCTCAAAACACTATGGTTCCAACCTGAACTTATTTAGTTCCTTGTATTTTGCTGTCCTTGAGGCTATTAAGTATGTTAACTAAAATCTTCTCTGCAGGGGGGGAACATTGCTCTTCAAACGTTCTTTTCCGAAGTTTATTTTGTATTTAATTTGGCGTGCTCTGATGCTCATAAATAATTGGTACTTTGGCCATGTAACTATTTGTTGTATTTCTGAACCTACTGGTTTGTTCAAAAGCAATTATTATATAGGAGCCAAAAATAGTACTGCACGCTAAACAATTCGAGTCAGTCTCTATTTACTGATATATATTATTTCCTACGTCTCATCACCGAGGGCCATGACTTTCGTTGGGCAGAATTAGCATCGTTCTTTACATTAGGCCAAACTGATTATGGTGGCGCAATCAACGCGCCATTTGGTCCGGACTATCTGCTATAACTTTATTCCCAGGATTAGCTTTGAGCTGTTCGCCCTTGTTCCCCGGTTGTCGCGGTCCAGTTTTGCAGCGGCGTATTTTTCCGGCGGTGCGCTCAATTTGTTCCACTCCATGCTTGGATTCACAAACGAGGGCCTGGGTTGGGATGCGTTAGTGGCCTCGCACTAGCCTCATCATCATGGGATTTTTAGTAGGCTTGTTTTTATTCCGATTCCTTTTTCAGCCATGACGGTTTTGCCCTTCTGCGATGAGGATTGGGCTCCTATGTCAAGTCGCCTCCCCGGTGGAGATTTCTTGCAAATTATCATTTGGGCTTCGCTTATCATGCTGCAATTGTTAGAGCTACATATTGGGCTGGAATCTCCGGATTGAATCACTTATATCGTGCTATAACTGTCGACTATTTAGGGTCAAAGCCTTTGTTTTATGTTTATTGATTATTTCTGGACCTATTTTATACAAACGCGAATATGTTTTTGTTCCTCTTTTCAGACGGCAAATGAAGGCAGATAAGTGGATTATCCAAAGGGGACCAGGTCCGAAATAGAATATTTGATGATTTTAATCAATACTTCAGTGTAGGACACCTCCGCGGGCCCCGAAGTCTGTGCCTTTTAATGCGTTGCATGCTCGTTCTGATTTAGCTCTGCTGTTTATAGTCAATGCTTAGAGTAATATAAGCGCAAGGTCGGCCATATAGCTAATAGTCCGATCCCTCATAGGCTAGCTTTACAGTTATGATGCCTTAAACTAGTTTCTCGAAGGCCAGTATGGTCCCGAAGCCCTTCGACCACCCAGTCCTGGGGCCACTGGAGGCAATAGTAAATATTCGATGAATTAAAATGTGGGCGTACGATAAAATGAAGCCTACAATGCCTGTTAGGTCGACGGCGAAAGGCGTAACCGATATATAAAAAGGAACATCAGTCACTCCATTATTTGTCGTTTCCGGTAAAGAGGGCCAGATTTTAGCGGACTCCATATCGACTTTGCCCTAAAGATACTTTCCCATCAGGGCTATGCTGTACTTTAAATCCTCTTTGGGCCTTATCAACTAGCATCAACCAGCTCCTGACATATGATATGCAGATACAGAATCAATGTCAACACCCAGTTCATTTGATACATCTAAATGTCCAGACAGACGATACCAACTAAATCCTAACGTCATTGAAGAAAACTTGTTCGGGCTTTCACGGAGCAGCAGTGCTCGAAGATGCGGTTTCGTATTCCATTACTTATAAGAAGATCAATAACCAAATGAATCAGAGGGCCTGGAGATTGGACAAGATTTAGAGCGATGCTAGGACCCATTAGGGAGAAATATAAGCATTAAGAGGGGAATTATAATTAAATTCGATTCAACTCAAGCAGCCCGTTGGTACATACACAAGGCAAGATTATAATGAAAAATATGAGACTTCTTTTTATTTAATGCTTAAATAAAAGAAGTGCAATGCCTGATGCTGAAAAATGTCTGGATGAGAACATTTAAGAAAAAAGTTAAGAAGCTAACATAAATATAAGGTAAGTTACGCTGATGGGTAGAGGGGATAGTGCTAAAATAAAATATGAGTAGCAAGACATCCTCGAAGTTAAGGCAAGATGAATCAAATTGTACAAAACCACTTGGCCTTCATCACATATACCAACGGTGTAGGTAATCTTGATAATAAAAGAACTAAAATCAACTCTCGGACGGATGGAAAGCCCATGAGAACTCATAAAGTCTGTGGAGCTGGGTCAAAAATCGGCCATGGTGCATAGGGTCAGAGCAATATCTGTAAGATGAGAAGAGATATTAGGTGAAATAACTTAATATGATCAAATAAAACTCCCTGATGAGAACGAAGGGAAAAAAGCATCCAAAAATAAAAGCAAAAGACATTAAATTAAAGTTATTTTTAAAAAAGTGCATGGCTAACAAGGAGATAAAACTGCAACGTCGCGCTAGTACATGACAGATGATTTTGAATGAGGATTATTCACGTTATTTTATTTAAGGTGATAAATATTAATTTAAAAAATTGAACGATTTGTTGAAAGACGCATTGAGCATACGATAAGAGAAGATTAGCAAATAAAATTTTTAAAAAAGTAATACAAATACAGTGATACCAACAAGAAGGCCATGATCGGATCATTACCATTATGCGAACATCGAGCTGCTTGTCATCAGCTGACTACGGTACTGCTTCAGAACTGGCTCCACTTCGTCGTTTAAAAATGTGTTGACCTGTCAAAAGTAGGAAGAAATGTTAAGCCATTATAGGAATGTCAGGAATAAAGCACAGTGATATGAAGCCGAAAAAGCAAAATCAGTTTGGTTTTTTAATTTTTCACAAAATGAAGAAAATGATAATGTAGTAGAAATACTAGAATAATTATGTTTAAAGTATTAAGTTTATGAATGCGAATAGGAAATACGTCTAGAGTACAGAATAAAGAGGGAAACATTGTATAATGTAAACTAGATTAAAGTAAAAATCAATTTTAACAATAACTATCACTTTTATATAGGACAAATAGGATAGCGGGTTCAATGTGCTCCAACCACAATTAATGTGAATACAACGGTAGCTATCAACCAAGCAACAATTCCGGAATAAACCAAGGGACCCAGATGCAAGCAATGCAAGGAATCTAGTTCCTGCAAGTATACTAAGCGGTATTCTTTCATAAAAGTAGCGTTGCATGCAACAGGCAAAGATGTAATAAGAAATCTGAATGTTTCATGCAGTGAATAGGATTAGAAAATATCAGTAGATCTTTAGTAAAAGCCACACTTATTGTAGTTCAATTTGAACAAGACCATTTGAATTTCAAGGCTCTTTTAAATTCGGTAGAATCGTGGGGTCCACTTATTTCATTGCAGGAAGATCAGATATCAAATCTTGCATCATCGTTCATATATTATAGGATAAAGACAATGAGATAGGATCGCCACTAATATTAAATGAATGTATAAGAATAGGGTTCCATACAAAGACTGGTTACAAATGAGTTCAAAAGTATAGGTAGCTAACTGATATTAAAACCGTGGAATAACAGCAAATTTGATCACCTCACTTTCTAGCCATCTATACAATTTATCCATCTGATAAGCATGAAACAAAACCAAAGTAAAACACTGAATAGAAAAAAATGAAGATTAAAAATATTAGCTATATGCTATATTTTGTATAGGACATTAAAAACATTGCAGTCCAGAGATAGATTCTTAAGACGAGAAACTTCCAAACTAATTATAGGATTAAATATATAAATATATATGCATTATATTGATGGTCACTCCCATCAATCGAATTCCACCTGGTCTGATGCACGACCGATAAAGTTTTCAGGGTCAAGGAAGCGATCCAGCTGGCCGTGGATCGGCGCAAAATAGGAATCGGCCTTAATGCGCTTAATGAGGTCATTATCGAGGCCATTGAGTTTAACCATACATCCAGCTGCCTGACTATGCTCTCGAAGGCGTTCATGACAGGCCTGGCGATCGGCACCCGCTTGATTAACCATAGCTACCAGAATTTGTTCAATAGCCAAGAAGGGCAACTCAGCAGCCATGTTGCGCTTGATAACCTGAATGGAAAGCAAAATGCTAATAAATAAATGATGCAAAATGGGTTAGATGAGAATTATTATTAGAAGAGCACTCTCACGATTATCGGATTTTAAACCAGATATACTGAGACCGAAATAGAGAAAATTAAGAACTCTCAATCGGAAAAATAATAATCCCAATAAAATATCGTCTCCAACGTTACACTATAAAAGGAAGTGAGGCGGAAATTTTTTAAAATAACAGATAATTCGTTTGTATAGAC